GAAACAATTCAGTCCTGGACTTTTTGGGACTCATTCCCAAAAGACTGGTTGACATCCCTATAAAAAAGGAACAAGGTGAATAGCACCTTATATTTCAAAATAAATAATATTCAGACACTGGAAGCTTATCCAAGGAAAGAAAGGATTACTTATGAAATTTACCAAGAGGAAGAAAACAGAATGAGGTGTGCTATTACTAAGGTTACTGGTCCAAACTATTTTGAAAAAAAGTAGCTTTGACAATATTTCTCTTCCTCTTCATTTGTAGTCGTATTTCCACACCATGGTTAGTGTAGCAATTATAGGTGCTGCAAAATTAAAAACCAAAGAACCCCAAATCCCAAGTTACTTTGTACATCTCAAATTGGGGTGTTAGATATAAGTATAATCGCAAACATAGGGGAAACCAAATAATAAAACCTAATAGTAGAGATTTTTTGTCGATCATTTTCATAAACTCAAATTACTATTAATTAATTAAAGAAACGTAAACTGTTATAATTCACCATACAGATGAGATTTTTAATTCTGAAAAATATTTTGAGCTTGCAAAGTATGTATCTACAATGTAACAGAGCCATATTTACCAATATTAATGTACCTTCATATTGAAAAAGCAATTTTTGTCATAAATTCTAGATTTCTACTAATGCAAAATTTTAAAAAATCATAATAAACAAAAAAAATGGCGTTGTTACGTTATAGATAAGGTTCTTAACAATTAAAAACACTTCAAATTTTTTTTCTAGCTATTTTGCTTCCAAAGTTATAAACGTTTTAAGATTTTGATTGTTAATATAAGAAAATTGCCTTTGCATAAACTGTTCTAACTCACCATAATTATATTTAAACAAAAAAAAATAGCATTGTTACGTTGTAGATAAGGTTCTTAGATTAAAAACACTTTCAATTTTTTTTGTAGCTATTTTGCTTCCAAAGTTATAAACGTTTTAAGTTCCCGACTGTTAAAATCCATTTTAATTTATATTTAAATTAAATTATTAAAGAAAATCGCTTTTCATGAAAATTGTTATAACTCATCATACAGACAAAAATTTTTAATTCAAAAAAATGTTTGAGCTCGCAGAATATGTCTCTACAATGTAACAGAGCCATATTTTAAAAATATTTATTAACATTGATGACTTTCATGTTGTTTTGTCATAAATTCCGAATAACTATCAATACATAAAAATTTAAAAAAATTATATTAAACAAAAAAAATAGCGTTGTTACGTTGTAGATAAGGTTCTTAAAGATTAAAAACACTTTCAATTTTTTTTGTAGCTATGTTGCTTCCAAAGTTATAAACGTTTTAAGTTTCTGACTGTTAAAATCCATTTTAATTTTTATTAAAGAAAATCGCTTTTCATGAAAACAGTTATAACTCATCATACAGACAAGAATTTTTAATTCTGAAAAATGTTTTGAGCTCGCAAAACATGTCTCTACAATGTAACAGAGCCATATTTTAAAAATATTTATTAACATTGATGTACTTTCATGTTGTTTTGTCATAAATTCTAAATAACTGTCAATACATATAAATTTAAAAAAAATATATTAAACAAAAAAAAATAGCGTTGTTACATTGTAGATAAGTTCTTTAAAAATTAAAACACTTTCAATTTTTTTTGTAGCTATGTTGCTTCCAAAGTTATAAACGTTTTAAGTTCCCGACTGTTAAAATCCATTTATATTTTAATATTAAAATTAAATTATTAAAGAAAATCGCTTTTCATGAAAACTGTTATAACTCATCATACAGACAAGAATTTTTAATTCAGAAAAATGTTTTGAGCACACAAAATATGTCTCTACAATGTAACAGAGCCATATTTTAAAAATTTTTATTAACATTGATGACTTTTCATGTTGTTTTGTCATAAATTCCGAATAACTATCAATACATAAAAATTTAAAAAAATTATATTAAACAAAAAAAATAGCGTTGTTACGTTGTAGATAAGGTTCTTAAAGATTGAAAACAGTTTCAATTTTTTTTGTAGCTATCTTGCTTCCAAAGTTATAAACTTTTTAAGTTTCCCGCTTGTTAATACTGTAATACATAATAGCAAAAAATATTTTTAAAATTTGATCAACATATTTATGTGGTACAAAACCCTTACTAATTGATTTTATTATTTGATTTCCCCTATGTTTGTGATTATATTTGTATCTAACACCCCAATCTCAAATGTACAAATCCCAAATGTTGATCAATCTTTCTAACAAATAAACATATACTGTAACAAAGAGGCTTTTGATCACTTTCACAAATCCTAAGCACTTATTGGTTGGGAGACAGAATGCTAGGGGTGTACAAAGTAGTTGGGATTTGGGAATTCTTTGACAGGCTGGCCCAAATTCATTTTGTACATTTGGGATTTTTGTAATTTATTACTATATATACATTGCCTTTTTTTCTAATAGTAATAGTAATAGTAAATGAGCTTTTTCCTGATTCACCTTAGTATGATAACCAACTACAGTCTTCAGGATCTTTTGCAATTATTAATAATTGTGATGTTTATCTAGAACTTTGTAATGAAGTACAGGAAATTTTTAAGGGGATATATATCAATGAAAATCCATTTGATAATACATCAATAATAAATTGCCCTCATTGATTATTTTTGATATAGATAAATATGGATAAATTATCAAAATTTAATCACATTGAAATTTAACAATATTGAAATTTAACAACATTGTTATTTAACAACATCATAATACAGTCAGGGATCTTTCCAAATTTGGAATGTGGCTAATACAACAATTGATCGACAATAAATGTCTTCTTTCG